GATGGTTTCATTTTTCAACTGTGGTCCAAAGAGAGGATTGAGCTGGGCCAGAATTGCAATCAGCCAACTAAAATTTGATGGGGGAGGAACAAGAGCAAAAAGTGGTGAAATTGGCTAAAACATAACCATTTTCATACACAATGAAACCCATGTTAGTCCAACTTCAATGTATTCCATCCTGACCAAGGTTTCACTACACACTGAGCTCCTGGAAGACAGCTGAGTGGAGGACATTTCTCAGGCTGCACTCTGCCTTCATTTGAGGTAATCCACAAAGTAGGGGGGCTCCATCACAGCTGAGTCACTACCTTTCTCAATGACGTCATTACTGCGCCAAGTATGCAAGCTTTCCCAAATTCATGATATCCTTACCACCAAGCCTGTTCACCTCCTCACAGTTTGTCACCATCACAACCTCCTTTCATCTTCTCCAGTGTGCAGACATTAAGGCACTAGTTTAGGGGTACAGCTAAGACCCGATTTTAGCCCACCAGGTTCCTAATCACTGTCACGATAAAACACAGCAAAGCATTTCCTGGTCCCCACCACACAGATCCAAATGGGCATTTACTTCCGCATCTAAATCACAAGGTGTGCCTCTGTACACACAGCCTAGAGAGGAAGTACAAGTACCTCGTTTTATCTCAGAAACTGAAGCAACACGGTTAGCTTTAAATTTTTCACATGCTGTTCAGAGTTCCAATGAGGTGATTCATGGGCTGAACGAAAGTTGAGAACCAGTGAGTAAGGTCGAAAGCAAGGAATAAAAAGAAAAGCAGCCTGCAGGTGTCTGGCTATTCAACCATTTTGTTTTACTTACTGAGCAAATATTTAATGAGCAATTACTAGGTCCCAGGGTACCTGTGATCAGGTGGTAACTGCCACATAGAGAAGAAAAGCAGGGGAGAGGGATAGAAATGGGGCTGGGGCGGTTGGGGCAGGACAGGAGGAAATTTCCAAAGAGACCAGAATCATGCTGAATCCACGCTGCCTTTAGTTTCTATTCAAAACTCGGGAGTCCACTAGATAGTCTCTGTGGTGGGAGGGGTGTGTGTGTGTGTGTGTGTGTGTGTGTGTGTGTGTGTGTGTGTGTGTGTGCAAGCACTGATAAGCAGAAGAGTGACATCCCCCATGCTATCGATCTCCTTGTATGTACATTAGGGAGCTGCCTCTTTCAAACTCCCCTCCAGGATGGGGATCAGCCAAATCCAACTAGGCCATTATCAATTGGGTCTTTTCCTCCTTTGGTTGCCATTTTTGGAATCCTTTCAATCATATGACCAAAAGGCTGGTTCTGACCACCAATGTACAGAAGCAGCCAGCCCAGCATCAGGGACTGGTGCCCACAGACACACGGTATCTGCCTTCCCAGCCCACAAAAGGTCGTTTTGTGATGAGAAACGTGATACAGGAGGAAACCAGGCCAAAACAGATACCTTAAGCCGATTCACTTTACAAACAAAATGTTAATTCAGATGAGATTCCCTGATCACCCTTAGAACTAGGGGATTAAACATAAACACAACACCAGGCCTTTCAGTAAGGCTTCACCCCCCCCCCCACCACACACTCACTCTGTGGAGGGGCAGACAATACAGGCGAACACTGCATTGCAGAAGAGCTATGAGGCCAGAGAGTCATGGAAAATTCCACCCAAGCCCAGGGTTTCCCCAAGCCCAGCAGGAGACACAAGCTGCCCTGAGGAGGAGCCCTGTGCTCCATAGGACTGACCTAACTGGCAGCACTTAGAAACATCAAATTATGAAGACACATCAGCCCCCACATCGTCCCCACAGCCTTTCCTTGCCAAGGGTGTGAAGTAAGCAATAAAAACATCATACAGGGCTGGACACATGGCTCAGTGGCTAAGGGCAAATGTGGCTCTTGCAGAGGACCCAGGCTTGGTTCCCAGCATCCACAGTGGGAGCTCACCACTGCCTGTAAGTTCAAATCCAGATATGATGACCCTCTTCTGGTCTCTACAGATACACACACACACACACACACACACACACACACACACACACACACACACACAGTGGCACTCCAAAATCCTTGGGGCGGGGCAGGTCAGAAGGGAAAATTAAGAGTGCTGTGGTAAGGGAAAGGCTGGTTGAAATCTCTCACTAGTAGCACAATTAACACGATTTATCATGAAGACTGCCTACAGAAAGATAATACTCCTTTTTTACAGGGATATTTCAAATAAGAGCATTGAAATAGGAATGGACTATTCTCAAGGCCAAAGCATATTTGACCTTTGCCTTTAATCTTTTCCCTTTCTTAGCTGTAATCTTTGACTCCCTGTAGCACTCACTAACAAGGTTTTGAGGTTTGTTTATAGTCAAGACACATGTCTTAACTTCCCTGTGCCTGGAGCCACCTCTACCCTGTGACCTACAGCTTAAGGACCCATCCTGTGGTCTCATTTACTACAAGAATCCTTTAAAAAAAAACGGTGCCTCGAAAGATACCAACATTACATATATAGCTATTGTTAAGACACAATCATGAGACAGGGTCTCATGTAGCCCAGCCGGCCTTAAACTCCTTTATGTAGCCAAAGACCACTCACACATCCCCAGGTGCTGGGACCACAGGTGTACTGCACTGTCACACCCTCCAGACACTGTTGTTCCCCAGAAACCCCACACCCATGTGTTGAGTGTATACCATCACTTGCCAAGAAGTCTCTCTCTCAATGCCCATGCTTAGATCTATGCTAAAAACCTGTCCTGATAAACACTAACTTTTCTTCATATTGACTCATCATAAAATTCTTTTGTTTTTGTTTTTGTTTTTTTTTTCCGAGACAGAGTTTCTCTGTGTAGCTCTTGTTGTCCTAGAACTCACTCTGCAGATCAGGCTGGAACTCCAGAGATTCTCCAGCCTTTGCCTCCTGAGTGCTGGTATTAAAGGGGTGTGCCCTGGGATTAGGATCTGTCAGTTGATCCTAAAATTCTTTACATTAGCCTGGCCATGAAAGATTTGAAGGACTTGTAAGTGAAGGTCTCTGAAAGAATGCTTAACGCACCTGCAGAAGGTGACATATCACCATGCTGTTCTAACACAGTTTAGGAGCCAGAGGTGGAGGCAGGCTAAGTGACTTCAAGATGTTCACAATATTAAGTATGCAGAAGCAGGCAGCAGGTGACCAGAAACTAGGTCAATCTAACGCTGCTCTGTGGACGGCTAGCCTTTGTGGTGCTTTAAGTGAGGGTGAGAGTTGCTGGGTCTAAATTGTGAATTAGAGAAGTGAGAACCCACACTTTTGGTGCCCGCCCATAGAGAAGAAAAGGTATCAGTCGCAAGATACCTTTATTTAAAGACCACTTTGCTCTCTCAAATCGGTCTTTTGGAAGTTTCCAGATTTACACACCTTCCCCATCCCACAATTTTTTTGGGGTGGGTCTCATTATGTTTCCCAGGCTGGTTTCAAAGTTTCTAGGCTTAAGGCATCCTGAATAAAAACTAAGTCACCATCCACCATCCATTCAGCTTGTAATGATGGGATTATTTGTTTCACTTTGTCTTTCAAAGAGTTTGAAAGATAGAGCCCAAGGCTTTGTGCATGGTAAACAAGCACTCAAATACTGAGGCCAGCCACAGCCCTTGACACTATTTCCAACGTTTCAAATCAAGAAAAAAATAAGTCAATCTCAACCCCCATCCCAACACACATACACGCCACAAAACAAATCTTGTTAGGAAAATGCCTCGAGAAACAGCACAGGCTATTTGGTTTGAAATTTTAGCGGAATTTTCCCTCTCTAACCAGCTGAATGAACTCAGTGCCTGCCCTTCTGACTGCCCACAGACTTAAAATTTCCCTTTAGCTGATAAACACACAGTACTGGAAGGGAGAGAGGCGCCTGCTGTGACCTGATGGAGCCAGTGGAGGAAGGGCCTGGGCTCTGGCGGATCCCTGCCTTGTTGTGTAACCAGAAGGAACGAACTGTACCCTTCCGCTTGCCCAAACTGTTCCACATGGCTCCACAGCCCAAAGGCCTAATAACCATCAGCTGAGAGGCTTCTGGAGGACAGCGGTGACACAGCAGCAATTAGGGGAGCTGTAGAACTGGGGTGGACCCCGTGCAAACCCAAGCTCCTCTTTGGGGAGTTACTGGATTGGAAGTGGGATCTGCAGATGCTGGGTGAGCGAGCACTCTATCACTGAGACACGCTCCCAGTCTACTATTATGATTATTTGAGACAAGGTCTTGCTGTGTTATCCAGGCTAGTCTTGAATTCACTGTGTGGCCCAGTAGTCTACAGATGCCCCCCTACTCCACAATCACTCCCAGGGGTCATGGTCCTGTTGGGCTCTGAGGATGCCAAGACGATGGCTGGAGGGGTGAGCTACCAGGGATGGCAAAGGACTGTGCTCCCCACAGACCGGCCAGTGGCCCCCAGTCCAGCTGGGAGAGTCCTCCAAGCATAGACTACACTGCTCTGCCCGGAAGCAGTACCCAGTTCTCAAATCCGGCTTAGTGGTTTTGTTCCACAAGAAGGAGGAGGAACAGAGAACATGGGCGTGGCCTAGTTCCTAGTGAAGCACAAGTAGGATCTTCTCGACTTCCTTGTTGTAATGGGGGATGTCCAGCCAGGATGGCTCTTCTGTCCCAGGTCCTCCTAGTACGGGCCGTGACAGGAGTGACCTCTGCCGGTGGATGCCTTATGTGACAGCAGAAACATACGCAACTGCCTTGCTGGCTCCCTTCATGACTACGTAAAGTCTTTTCTCCAACCTAGTGACACAAACACTTTGAAAGGTAGGGGTGCTACACTGAAGCTACTACAAAATAGGGAGATTTGGTACCAAAGCGGGATTTTAACTCCAAGCATCCCAAATGCTAGTGGAACGGCTCTAGGCAAGTGGCTGTTTCCATTTGTAAATACTTGCCTCAAAGTGTTAGGAATTAAAGAGATAATAAGAGGCTCTTCCAGTGGCTGGTAAGTAGAGGTTCAAAATAACCCCATGCTTCTTGCTTTCTCCACAGATTTCGGAGGTATCCCCCATGTCTCCCAGGTTCCCTCTAACATAACAGGGATTGTGACAGACGCTCCTATAGACTGCATCACACCACAGAGCAGGCTCAAAGAAAAGGACATGTATGTTCCTGGGTAGACCTGAGGAGATCAAGTAACATCTGAGAAGGGACAGGCCTGCCTGTCGAAGACATGGATAAGCAACTACCTGGGCTATAACCTCACTGCCTTTCAGTCGGTGTGTGGCAAGCACACGCTATGGGGTTCCCATTCTGCCCCTTAAAATGAGCTCACTTTTTGCTTTCGCAAAAGACAGCTGAGGGGAACTGCAGGCCTGGGCTGGAGGTCACTGGGTGGGTGTGAGAACACTGAGAAGCTCCTAGGTGCTCCCTGATTTAGAAGTCCTTGGCCTGGCAGTAACATGGAACCAGAGCCCTGTGGGGTACGTGCTCCAGACGGGCACAGGGGCACCCGCCCTCCTGCCTGCCATCCAGGGCATGGCCTCCTGACTGCCCCACAGTTTTGAACAACTCGGACCTGGCATGATCAGTGAACATTGCTCCTCCCCCGTTTGCTGAGCCATCCCTTGCCCAGTGACATCTGAATCCCATCTAAGGCTCTTCTTTCTTGGCTCTTCTCCCTCCTCCAAACCTGCTTCCCCTAGTGCTGGGGATGGAACCCATAGCTTCCTGCACGCTGGACAAATGCTCTACTGCTGAGGTACAACTCTGTAACTGCTAAAGGTTGAACACGGGACAGCAAGATGGGTCAGGTGAAGGTGCTTGCTGCCAACCTTACAACCTGACTTTGACCCCCAGGACCAGAAACAAATCCTACAAGCTGTCCTCTGACTCCATTTATTACTAAATAAATAAATGTGGGAAAATCCCTAAAGGGTGGAAAGAATCTCACACAAAGGAGATACTGCTGCTGGCTTTCAAGATGGAGGGGTGAATGGAATGTGAGTGGCCTCTAGGGCGGGTGGTGGCTAACTAATAGCCAGTGAGGAAATAAGGACTTCAGTCTTGTTACCACAAAGAACTAAATTCTGGCACAGCCTGAGGGCTTGGCAGAGAACCCCAAGCTCCAGATGAGAAGGCACAAACATGTTTTCTATTAACTGGCTGCCAACCTTACCACTGTGGCCCCTCTGCTAGCACAGGAATACGCCCTCATTTTGCCAATTTTAACCTTGAAATTTCTTCCCTTTTCCCCTCAGGACTTCAAGACAACTCATTTTCTAAACTAGGTCTTTCAAGCCAAAGTACCTACCAAGCCCTCTGTGTGTGCAAGGGACTAAAAAATGGGACCTCAAAATACTACTGGGCACAGTCCCAGTCCCATAATCCTCTTACCTGTTGTACTATAGTGGAAAAGACTCTAATATATGTCTCCATAAACAGGTAATGATAGCGTGCTGGGCCAGGCACTGTGGTCTCTCCTCTCCTATATATAGACATCGTAAATGTACCTTGGAGAGAAATTAAGCAATTCTCAGGTGGAAAATTAAATGATGGCAATTGTCCAGGGAGGGGAGTGAGGTGGCTGCAGGCGCTCCCCACAATTGTTGGGTAGACAGATGAGCCTGGACTTTCACCTGCAGATTTTACCAGGCTGAGAAACACCAAAACCCAGGGTCCTCCCAGAGCCACCATCCTGAGAACCCACAAACACCACTCAGGAAAGCTGGAATCCCAAAGGCTTTTATTTTTGAACCCTGAATTCATCGGGGAGAGGGACTAGCTGTGGTTGTGGGTACAGAGGCTCGCTGGTAAGCCTGATAACTTGAGTTGATTTCCACGACTCCTAAGGTGGAAGGAAAAGAACTGGCCCCTGAAGATTGTCTTCTGACCTCCACACACTTGCCCCATCCCAAATAAATCACTTAAAACGTATTAAGAGAGGGTGGGAGTGGGGAGGGGATTACTGGGAGACAGCCTAGCAGTTAAAAGCACTTGTTGCTCTCTCCTAGAGGACCCAAATTCAGTGCCCAGCAACATCACTGGGTGGCTCACAACCTCCTGTAACTCAGCTCCAAGAAAGAAACTCATTGCATCCAGGGGATCCAATGCCCTCTTCTGTTCTCCACAGGCAATGCTCTCATGTGCACAAATACATACATACACACAATTTTTGCTTGTTTTTGTTTTTGAGACAGCATTTCTCTGTGTACCTCTGGCTGTCCTGGAATTCATTCTGTAGATCAAGCTGACCTCGAACTCTGAGATACACCTGAGTTTGCCTCCCTGAATGCTGCAATTAAAGGCGTGCATCACCTAGCCACAAGTAAAAATTTTTTAATTAAAAAAGTGCAGTTAATATGGTCCTAAAGAAAATTAAAAATCTGATGAAATAATCAAAACAATAAAGTAGCCTAAAATTAGCATGTTAATAGTTATATTAAGTTTATCTATTTAAAAGACAAAGATTGCTGGGTATATAGAGCCACTTGCTACATGTCTGTAAATACAAGTCAATATGCCTGCAATCCTAAAACTTGGGAGGCTGAAGCTGTAAGTTCAAGGCAGCCTAGACTATGCAGTCAGACTTGTCTCAACAAACCAAACTAAACTAAACAGCAAAGACCCTCAGTATTGATTAGGTCTACAGAGTGAGTTTCAGGCCAGCCAAGCTACATAGTGAAGCCCTGTCTCTAAAGGAAAAGGAAAACAGAGGGAGAGAGAGAGAAAAATAACACCCAATAACAGAAGAGATAGTCAGGAAACTCATACATACATAGCAAAACTATTTTGAATAAAAAAGCCGAACTATTTAATGAAGCAAGGATGTTCTCAAAAATTGCTAAAGCACAGAGTGGCAGGGCATGCCTGTAATCCCAGCACTCAGAAGGCAGAGGCAGGCGGATCAGTTCACAGCCAGCCTGGGCTACCTACTGAGATGCTCTCAAAAAACAGACACAGCAAAGAAATGGTACAAGTGCTAGGAATGTAGCTGAGCAGTGGAGTGGGCAAGGCTCTGGATTCAGTCTCTAGCACTAAATGAGAAAAGAAAAATGAAACCCGGGCAGCAGTGACCGTCTGTCTTCATCAGGAAAGCACGGCCAGCCCTGACCTTCTCAGTGCCAGCAGCATAGGCGAGCAGCGGTGCCTAAATGCCCAAACCTGACACTGCCCAGAACTGTGGGGAGTCTGCAGATCTAACCCTACCTAATAGGTCTATAGGAAATAAGTTCAGTGGCTCTCTTACCTTTGCTCACCCTGTTTTTGTCAGAAATCCAAACCTCCCAGGTTCACCATCACACCCCAAGTCCCATTCCTTGGTATTTTCCACTGCTGGCTCCTCCCTCATTCCTTCAAGTTCCCCCAAGCAGAAGGCGGACTACTCTTGGGCAATGAGGTCAGAGACATTTTTCTTCCACTGTGCTACTGTCAGGCAGTTCCCCTCCATCTTGTGCAAAGGAACTTCTCTAGGGAGCATACAGCTGGATTTTCACCTATCAACCCTTCGGCTTTCCCAGTCTAACCTCCTGTTGCAGAGGATGCTCTAGGCGACCCTTCTCTGCCACATATTCACCTAAAAAGTAATCCTACCTCACCTATGTGGGTCCTGTTCCAAGACATCCAGTAGACCCTGGATCATTGATACCCAACTTTAACCCACACAGCTTCCTATGTGCACATACCTATGGGGACACTGAAGTCATAAGCCAGGCACAGATAGAGATCAGCAAGACAGAACACATCACATTGAAGGTTATGTTCTCTCTCTTGAAAGAATCAAGACAAGTACTACTGTTTCTGGGCTGCAGTTGATTTTGAATGACGGGAACTATGGCCAGTGAAGGCCCAAGAAAGAGAGAAGACCATGCCACATCTCAACGTTGGCTCTGCTCACTTCTCTCTTTTTCTCTCTCTCCCTTCCTTCAGGTCAGGGTTTCCTAACACTCGCACTACTGACAATTGGGATCACAAACTTTTCAGGAGCAAGGCAGAGGTGTCCTGGGCAAAACACAATGTTGATTTATCAGCACCCTTGGCTTTTACCCAAGGTGCCAACAGGAGTGCCAATGCAGCACCTCCCCAAGAACACACCCACCAATCACAAGGTGCTGTGCTTATGTGGCTCACTATTCACGCAAACTAAGTAAATAAGGCAATCAGGGAAGTGAAATGTAATAGGCCGCTTGATGATATAAAGGAGTTAATTTTAGAGCATGGTAGTCACACTGTGCTTATGTGCTAAATGGTGGTTATTGCCAAGACACAGAATAAACCAGATTTGCTTCAAAGTAATCTGAAGTAGAAGAGAACATGAGGGGTAAAACAAGCTTGTCTGTGAATTGGTAACTTTTAAATGTGGCAAAATTAGAGAGAGAATACAGTAGGTTTAGAAAAGTCAAAATCAGGCTGGGAGTGACTTTTTAATCCCAGTGTTTGGAAGTAGAGGCAGGTGAATCTCTGTGAGTTGGGGCTAGCCTGGTCCACATGGTAAATTCGAAGCCAGACAGGGCTACAGGGAGACCCTGTCCCAAATGAAATAAACTTGATGATGACACACAAATTTGCTCTTTCCTCTTGAGCTACTGTAAGATATCACTCTACTTGGTCTTTGTCAGACTGCCACCACAGAGCCTAAGCAAAGAGCCGCTTTTCCTCTCTACCCAAAATACACAGAAAGGTGAAAAAAGAGAACTCCAGGCAACCACATCATCAAGTTTAGTGTTGGCGCAGCCAGACACCACGAGATCATTTAGCACCTGTAAGACAGATCTAACACCTTGCTTAGGAGTCACTAATGGGGTGTGCAGAAAGCCAAGAGTCTCGTAGGAATCTCTCCTTATTTACACAAACTTCATCACAATCCTTGAGCAGAAGCCCCGGGAAGCTACATGGGTGCCGCGGCATGAGGGTCCTGGCCTTTCATCTCAGGATGGATGGGAACTGCCGTTTCCTGCCCATGGTGGTGCTAGACTGAGAAGGTCAGGGAGCCAGACCAGAGCCAGGACAGCTTTCTAATGGCCCTGCCAGGGACCAAGCCTTAGTTTCAGTTTACTGGCGGTGGCTGGAGCTAAGCAAACAGTTCTCAGGTAGAATCACAACTCCGAGACAACCAATCAGCCTTCTGTTGGCTCAGTAGAGGGCAACAGTCTCCTGATAGTTGCCCTGCCCTGCCACGGAAAAGTCCCTAACCACTAGGCCTCCCACCAGTCAGCCCCCACCAATCAGTCCCCCAGACTAATCTTTCCTCCACCAATCAGTGCCAGATTAATCCCTCCTCCTTGGAATTCCCCTAGCTCCACTTAAAAGGAGCTGTGACCTTCTTGGAGATCACCATTTGCCACTCCAAAGTTGGAATAAATAAAGTGCTCTTGTTTATTACACATGTGACTGTTGGTCTTTTCTTGGGGGCTTCTCTCGGATCCTAACATAACCAATTCTGTGGCCAGCACAACCCCCAACGGATCAGTTAAGACTCAGGGAGCTGAACACTCTGTGAAAAGAGAATGACTGGTCTATACTCTGGCTGGACACGGTGGCTCAGGCCTGGAGCCCTGCATTTGGGAACACCTAGTGTCATCCCTGCTGCTGTTGGTGAAAACACCCCGAGAAGCAACTTCGGGGAGAAAGGGTTTCCGTTAGTTCACAATGCCAAGTTGTAGTACATTAGAGCAGGAAGTCAAGGAGTCCAGAACTGAAAGCGGCTGGTGTGGGCGGGGTGGGGGGGTGGGGGTGAGGGTGGAGGGGTGTAGAGTGAGTGCCCGTGCGCTTCCTGCTCAGCTCACCGTGTCCACAGGGCCCAAGCCAAGCACTGTGCAGTGCAGCCCGCGTTCAGGGCGGGCCTTCCAATTAAAGACACTTCCCACAGGCATGCCCACTGCCAACCCAATCCAAACAACTCCTCACTAAGACTCTATAGACAGGACAGTCTAGAT